TTTCCAAAAGCCGACTCAGCAGCATCATCCAACTCTCAGGGTCGTCCCCTCATTAAATGTAAAATGAGCAATGAATGTGATGTCTGTCAAGTTTGCCGTTATCTTTCTTAGTCTTCTTTTTTTAAGGCCTGCAGCATGGGAAAGGTGTCAACGGCAAATTTGGCAGAACTGAACTTCCCTCTGGTGTGTGATGATGCCATCAGATAAAGTCCACCTCAAGGGTTTTGCTCAGAGAAGCTACATGCTAGCCCTGATATAGCCTCTTACTGTTTCACCTCCCTGGCTAGCTCTGTCTAGGATGTGGAAAGCTTCCATGCATTAGGGGGCGTGATTACTTAGAGTGACTTGGAAAACAATCCTCTTCTTCTGCGCATCTACACACAGAGGAGAGGAGTGGAAAAGAGGTAGAGGTGGGGAGGGGAGGAAAGGGGAGGAAAGGAGTGTCAATGACCTTAACTACGGTTAGAGCTAAAACACAAACACACAAAACCAGAAAGAAATGCACATTTCCTCTCTCTCCGATCTGTCTCTTAATTTGGATTTCAGCTACAGCATATCAGACAACATGCATCACGGTTGCCCTGGAAACCTATCTGTGAGTGAAACATTTCCTGGAATAAACCTCCCCCTCCGCACACTCACACTCACACTCACAAGCCTGCAACATAGGAGGAAAAAGAAGAAGGCACACATGAAGAACAGAAACATGACAGCAAACCTTTTCAGGTCAGGTAAAATGAAGAAACATTGACTAACAGCGGCAGCGTTTTGTTTACACTCACACACACACACACACACACACACTCAAGTAATATGTTCTGTAATTCCTCATTAAGGGTCTGTTGCTATGTTCCACTGCATTTGAAGCTTGAAATTCTCGCAGAAAGTAAATGATCTGGGCTTGCTGCTGCGTTGCAAATGAAGATTCTGGGTCCGTCTGTATGAAAGGTTTAGGAAGCACTCTGAGGTGAACCACTGCTTTTAATCAAACGTGAATAATAGGACTGCTCAAAAGAAGAGAAACAATAATCTGTGATTGTGAACAAGGGACGGAGGAGCTTTCTATTCACAACATTAAATCATGCACCAACAACATTTACAACCCAATAAAGTTGTAGTCAAAAACACATTGTAAATCATGCAAATACACTACAGGTGAAACACTGAAAGTCAAATGTCAGACAAATCATTTTGTTATATAAATATTAAAATAAACTGTCAACAAATACATCAGTTGTAGTTAATCACAGGGAGGTGGAGTGGGGAAGGTTAATCAATCATTGGAAGTTTTGGATCAGACTTAAGCATGCCTACAGTAACTTACCACCTTTCTTTTTCCTTAGAGTGGCTTAAAAGGGGTGACAGAAAAAGATTTGAGTCTTTAAAGCACAAAACAAAGTCAATAATTTGCCCAAGATGAAGAAAAATGTACTTGTATTGTAGCTTTGTTTAATTAATAGTATTGAGTGAGGGTACTTCCATCTATTTAAATGTATCCTACTGCAGATGCATTTGTTGTGAGAATCCCATACTTTACATTCAGATTTGAAAACACTAATGGACTTGCAACACTACCAAGCAATACTATTACTACTATAAATATAAAGTAAAGAATTAAATGCAAATGTGTCAAATAAGCATCTGAAAAAAACATGCTGACCAGAGGCATTTTTCTGTCAGCAATTTTCTGCAATGTATGAAGATTCCCTCTCCTGTCATTTATTTATCCACCAGCCTCTCATCTCTCTGCCTGCTCTTTCCACACCTTTGACACAGGGCACAAAGCTGCAATTACTAATGCGTAGTGTAAACAGTAAATCATAAACTGCTATTAAAACAATGCACCCTCCAATCTAGCTGCAACTAATGATGTTTTCATGATTGATTAAGCTGTATTTTATTTTTGGATTAATTGTACAAAGACAAAATATGGAGAAAAATTTACACAATAAGTTCCCACAGGCCAAAGTGACGTCGTAAAATTGCTTGTTGTCCCAACAGCAGTCTAAAACTCAATTTATAATGAAACAAAGTCAGAACCAGTGAATTTTGTCTTAATAAATTACTTGAACGTAATCCATTGTCAAAATTGCTGTCACTTATTTGACTGTTGGTAAATCAGTTAATCAGGGGCACCATTAATCGGGAGTTGCTGTGTTTTTAAAATAAGATTAGATACGCCTTTACTGATCCTCTGAGGGGAAATTCAGGTAAAAAGTGACGAAGACCACCTCTCTGAATGTAATAATCCTTCAGATTTATGAAATCAAACCAAATTTTTGAAACTATTTATGGTCAACATTTTTTTCTACAATAGCCTTTCAATATATACAGTATACATTCAGCAATTATCATTGTCATTCGGACTGCCTACCTACTGGAATTATAACTATACTTTTCAATCCAGGTAACAAAGTGCTTTACAGCAATCAATGTAAAACATAGACATGTCAAATAAAAATTAGTATCACACACAGTGGTGCGCAACAAAGGTTTTAGAAAACAGAACAAGTCAATGCAAAACTAAAGGGATCACATAGTGGTTTATAATCAGTAAAAAGCTGCTCAAGTGTTGGTCTGTTCTAAACCACAGTGCCGCCAAATCAACCAGGATTTAAATCTCAAATCAATACACTTTCATTAAGCCTCATTAAGACACATATGAACCTTCAGTGGGAAAAAGTAGATTTATTTATTTATTTTAATGGAGTAATGAGTACTTTCTGTCATCTACTAGCTGAATTGATCATGAGACGTCGTTTCAGGGTCTGGGTGGTCATGTGTCTCAGAAACGCTGACTGCCCTGTCTGTCAGAAGGTATTAGGACAGCACAGCACTTTTAGTGCTATGCACAGAGGGTCGTCTGAAGTGGAGGTCACACACGCACTCACACACACACATATAAAAAACAAAAACAGAGATTATACTAATGTTATATTTTAGACTTATTTGTTCCTTGTAGCCACAGCGACAGCTCATGGGTGCAGGGTCTTTAGAAGCAAGTTCTGCATGCATAATGGCAAAGGGGGACAGGAGATGAGGAGGGAGGAAAAGCAGCTTTCTTATTTTTATGGGTCAAATGTAAGCAAAATGATCAAAACTTAATTTGCATTAGCCTGAACAAAAGCTTCATTCAGCGATGCATGCTGCTGTTAGGTGAAATGGATGGCAAAAGGTTATGCAGCTTTAACTGCTTACCTTTATCCACTATTGAGATTAACCAATCAATGACAATAAGAAAAAAAGAACAAAAAAGAGAAAGAGGTGCTGTTAGTCACAGACATCCTAATGCCACTGTGTAAAAGCCAAACCGGTATGTTCTTACCAAGTTCCTCCAGTTCAGAGGTCATCGACTTGGAGCGCATAGATAGGGCTGTGGTGGGGGCTCTCTTTGGTGGTGGAGGAGCTGAGGGAGACAGAGAGACAGACAAAATGCATACATGTTATTCTGTATTACTCAGAGAGGACGTGGCATTGTGGGTAGAGCGGACATTCCCAGACTCCTTATTTATTGTTCTTGCTGACTTAAACAAAGGAAACCTCAGCCATGAACTCCCAAAATACAGACAGACAGTCTATAAAGTGTCCGACCAGAGAAGGGAACATTTTGGATCACTGCTACACCACAGTAAGCAGTGCCTATCACACCGCCCACCGCCCTCCGCCCTCCTCTTGGACACTCTGACCACGTCATGGTCCACCTGATTGCTGCATACAAGCAGAAATTAAAACTCTGTAAACCTGCTGCAGGACAAGCTCTCCCAGCTGAGGGTGCCTGACTCCACCTGCAGGTGGATCACAGACTTCCTGACGGACAGGAAGCAGCACGTGAAGCTGGGAAAACATGTCTGTGATTCCAGGACCATCAGCACCGGATCCCCTCAAGGCTGCGTTCTTTCCCCCCTTCTCTTCTCCCTGTACACCAACAGCTGCACCTCCAGTCACCAGTCTGTCAAGCTCCTGAAGTTTGCAGATGACACCACCCTCATTGTTTTCATCTCAGGTGGGGACGAGTCCGTCTACAGGTGGGAGATCGACCATCTGGTGACCTGGTGCGGCCAGAACAGTCTGGAGCTCAACGCTCTGAAGACCGTGGAGATGGTCGTGGACTTCAGATAGAGCCCAGCCCCACCCTCCCCCATCATCCTGTGTGACTCCCCAGTCACCACTGTGGACTCCTTCCGCTTCCTGGGCACCATCATCTCCCAGGACCTCAAGTGGGAGCTGAACATCACCTCCCTCACCGAGAAGGCCCAGCAGAGGATGTACTTCCTGCGGCAGCTGAAGAAGTTCAGCCTGCCCAAGACAATGATGGTGCACTTCTACACCATCATCGAGTCCATCCTCACCTCCTCCATCACCATCTGGACCCCTCCCACCCCGGACACAAACTGCTTCAGACTCTCCCCTCTGGCAGGAGGCTGCGGTCCTTCAGGACCAAAACCTGTCGCCACAAAAACAGTTTCTTCCCGTCTGCAGCCTCATTAACAAGACCCGGGTCCCCTACTGACACTCCCGCCTTCCCTCTGAAATACTGTTGATCTTTGCACATGTAAATATTATTTAATTTCACATCATTGTAAATACCCGGTATATTGCACATATTTGTTGTTAAATGTTAATCGTTATTATTCTGTATTTTATATTTTGTCAATCTATCCCATATTTATATATTTCTGCATTTATTTATGTCAACTGTATGTTTGTTTATAGCACTTTATCTCCAAAACAAATTCCTCGTATGTGTAAAAACTACTTGGCAATAAAAGCGTTTCTGATTCTAAATTCATAAGCCATAAACACGCCCTCAGGTAGGCTATGTTACGCAACTAATGATGGCAAACCTTATGTAGAAATGGCTGTATAACGATGATTCTAATACTATTACCACTCATCGCATTTACCAAATGGTTTGATTCCATAATCTAACAAGTTATAATTCTGCTGCTTAATCCCCCCCTAAATTGTTAGCCACAGCTGACTTTTGCCAGCTGGAAACTTTAAAAGAAGCATATGAACTTCTGGTGCTGTGTTATTTTTGTTGTTTGCATTGTGGACATGCAGTAAGTCAGGTTCCTTGCTGCCTCAGAGGGATATTATTACATAACACATCATCAGTCAGCATGCTGCTTTACTGCAGTATTTTAATACAGGAGGTACAACTGTTAGCAGATCCATTTTACAGCTGGTGTGCAGCTGTGTCCTACTGCTCCACACCTGAAGCTTCTCATTATTCTTATTATTATTCTATTTCCTAATCCATGTATGATTTTGTGTTGGGGGAAAATGCTGAATACCAAACATCAGCCGCCTTTCATTTTTAACCCATTTGTGGACAAGATATCTTCCTCTGTTTATAGCTTTCCTTGAGTGTTGCACACTGAAAAGTAGAATCTGAATGTCATTTTACCTTTTTTGCGTGCTGTGTCGTCGGGGTCCAGATTCCGGCTCACTGTCACCACCTTGATCAGGAGCCGGTTGCCTCCCTGGCGGATCATGTTAACCACCTGTCTGTGGCCCACCTTCACCACATTCTCCTGGT